TGTTAAAATAATTTCAGCTCATAACTGTTGAGAGATTATATCTAATGGCAATTAGAGAATCAAATCTCGATGACTTTTTTAAAGTTTTTTTTATAACACACTTATCATTTTCTTTCATCTCAATGTTGTTGTTGTTGTTGCCATCTCGGTAAACTCTCACTGAATAGCATTTATTAAATCATAAAATGCGGAAATTCCTGGTAGATTCTGAACAGAATCATTAAGGACTAAATTGAGGTTATGTGTAGCGCAATGAACATATTCGGCGTAATGATGTTGTTTCAAGTTCTTCATTTTTTTATACCATTTTCCCGATTTTTTAATTTTCATTTTCTGGATTTGATATCACAATCTTTCATTTATTCAATTTTTCACATTTTCAATTCCTCGATTTTCCAATTTTCAATATTTAGATTTTACAATAATTTTCGTGTTTTCGTCCGCAGTTTTTCGATCTTTAAGTTTCTCAATTTTTAATCTTTCGATTTTTGAATTTTTCGTTTCTACAATTTCTCAAGTTTTTAGATTTCTCGAAGCTTTCATTTTATACTTTTGCGTTTTTTCATTTTGAGTTTTCAATTTTACAATTTTTCTACTTTATAACTTTTCCATTTTGTTTATTCGGAAAGTAGAAAATTCGAAAAATTGAAAAATCGGAAAATTAAAAAATTGGAAAAAATTGAAGAAACAAAAAATTGCAAAATCGATAAAACGGAAAATCGAATGGAATTTGTTTTTACGATTTTTTAACTTCGATTTTTTAAACTTTTTAATCTGTATTTCAATTTTTCGATTTTTGGAATTTTCTGTTTCTCATATCTAGGTTTATCGATTTTTTTGAGTTTTTCGATTTTTCCGTTTATCTTTTTTTTAAGTAAATATTTCAATTTTGAATTTTCCGATTTCGGCCTATTTCGATTTCTCGATCTTTTGAAGTCTCAAGTTTTCGATTTCGATTTCTTGGTTTTTCGATTTTCAAAATTTTCGATTTTTCTAGTATATATTTTAAATTTTCGATTTTTCAAATTCTTCGTTTTTCCCTTTTATAATCTTTATGTTTCGATTTCCCGATTTTAATTTTTTAATGTGTTTCAATTTTTCCATTTTTGGAGTTTTCGATTTCTCATATCTCAATTTTCCAATTTTAAAAATTTTTCGATTTCTCGATTTTTAAGTTTTCGCTATCTCAATTTTAAACATCGCAATTTTGGGAATTTTTCAATTTCTATATTTTTCAGATTTTCGATATTTTCATTTTCCCGATTTTGTAATTTTCATTTTCTTGGTTTTATATCACAATTTTTCATTTTTCCATTATCTTTATTTTTTCAATGTTTCTTTGGATTTTATAATTTTTTGTTTATTCAATTTTTTACATTTTCAATCTTTGATTTTTTAAGTTCTTGATTCCCAATTTTTTTATATTTCGAAGCTTTCATTTTGTACTTTTTCAGTTTTACAATTTTTCTATTTTATAATTTTTCGATTTTGTTTATTCGAAAAGTTAAAAACTCGAAAAAATGAAAAATTGAAACAATGAAAAACTAAAAACCGAGAAACTTAAAAATCTAAAAAAAAATTAATGAATCGAAGAATGGGGAAGAAGAAAAACCATTCGAATTGAAAAATTGGAAAATCCAAAAATTGTAAAATCGAAAAATTATAGAATCTTGAAAATTGTAAAGTCCAAAAACTGTGACATTCAAACACCGAAAAATTGAAAAATTCCAAAAACGAAAAACTGAAAAAGTGAACAACTTTAAAAATTATAATTATTAGGAGTGTTACATAATTAAAATGAAAACTAGAAAAACTGCAAATGAAAAATTAAAAAAACGAAAAATTGGAAACAGAAAATTGAAAAAATAAAGAAAATTAAAAACCCACAGAAAAAATTGCAAATCGAAAAATTGACGAAATTAAAAACTGTAAACTCGTGAAAATTGCAAACTCTAAAATTTGAAACATCTAAAAGTTGGAAAATCAAAAACTGAAAAATCGAGAAATCGAAAATTTTCAAAAATCGAAAGATTGAAAAATCGATATTTTGGTAAAATCGAAAAACCGAAGAATTCAAACTGAAAAAAGATCGAGAATTCAAGATGTCGAAAAATCTAAATATCTAAAATTTAAAAAATAAAAAAAACACAAAATCGAAAAATCGAGAAATTGAGAAATGGAAAAATGAAAACTTAGAAAAATCAAAAATTGAAAAGCATAAAAAAATTAAAATCGGGTATTCGGAGCATAAAAAAAATAAAATCGAAAAATTGAAAAATTTTAAATTTAAAAATTCGAAAACTTGAAAAATCGAAAAACTGAACAAATGAAAAACCAAAAAATCGACAAATTGAAAAATCTCAAAACTGAAAAGTCGAAAAATTGAAAAATACAAAAATCGATTTCCGGTAAGTCGAAAAATCAAAATTTAAAAAGTTGAAAAATGAAAATATCAAAAAACTGAAAAATATAGACATTCTCAAAATTGAAATGTTGAAAAATTGAGAAATCGAAATCTTGAAAAATCCAGAATCGAAAAAAAGAACGAAAAGTAAAAACATTTTAAAATCGAAAAAACGAAAAATCGAGATGTAAGAAATCGGAAATTCCAAAATCGAAAAATTGGAATACACGTTAAAAAGGTTAAAATCGGGAGATCGAAGCATAACAAAACATAAAATCGAAAAATGGAGAATTTTAAAAATCTAATAACTTGAAGAAATAAAAAATTGAAAAATGGAAAAGCCGAGAAATCGAAATTAAAAAATTGAGACATCAAAAGATCCGAGAAATGGAAAAATCGAAAAACCGGAAAATTAAAAAATTGAAAGATCGAGAAATCGATATATTAAAAAAGTGAAAAATTTTAAATTAAAAAATTGGAGATATTGAAAAATCCCAAAATTGGAACAACGAAAACTTGAGAAATCGAAAAACTGAAAAGTCGATAAATTGGAAAGAGGAAAAATCGAAAAATCAAAGAATTGATTAATAGAGAAATTGAGAAATGTAAAAATGATTTTTTTTTTTTAAATTGCAAAAGTTGTAAAGCTGAAATATCGAAAAATTAAGTAAATTAAAAATCGAGAAATCAAGAAATCGAAAAATTGTAATTCAATTTTGTTTTATTTTTCCACAAAAATTTCGATGTCGAAGATAAAAATTCAACACGGATTCATAGACCATAGGTACACTGTTACTTTTTTTTTTATTTTATATAACATTTATTTGACAAAATTGTAGAACTGAAGAAACGAAAAATAGAAACATTGAAAAACTAGAAATCGAGAAAAAATTAATGAATCAAAGAACGAATTAAATCGCAAAATGTTCGTAAAGTCCAAAAACTAACATTCAAAGATCGAAAAATTAAAAAATTCCAAAAACGAAAAATTGAAAAAGTGAACAACTCTAATAAAAATTATAATTATTATTACATATCTAAAATGAAAATTAGAAAACCTGCAAATCAAAAATTGAAGAAACGAAAAACTGAAAACAAAAAAAATTGAAAAATCCAAAAACTGAAAAATTTCAAATTGAGAAAAAGAAAAAATATAAAAACTCAACTTATTAACAAACTTGTTCGTTAAATAGCTATTAATTTACCTGATCTCATTTTCAATTCCAATGAAAACCCCTTCTTTAAAAATTGCACATTTTAAAAAAATATATCGGTTACGTTACGGTCTGCGCCCCTTTTGACGCTGTGCCCCCCCCGCATTGCGGGATCTGCGGGGGTGCTATTTACGCCACTGGAAGAACTTATTCATGCTTTGTTTGGAGGTCTTTCATCTGAAGTCACTTCTCATCATTGCTATCGTGTCTATTTGGAAAATCCTGATAAAAGTTACACTTGAAGCCTTGGACCAGTCATTTGTACTAATATATTGAGTATACGAAATGGTCAATGGATGAACGAACTGCAAGACCTTAAGATCAAAATCAACGAAAGAAGCCAAGCGCCCATCTGAATCTTAATCTGTGCTCATATAGCAGGAAAACTCTTCTGTGGTGAACAACACAAAAACTGACAGATGTATGGACTCTTGATGTTTTGGGTATTGAGAATCTAGAAGAGCGGAAATCTAAGCAAGAGCACGAACAAGAAATCCTTGATAATTTTCAGAAGACAGTGACTAGATAACCGAATAGAAGATACGAAGTCTCAATGCCATGGATTCAGGGACAAACCACTACATGATAATCTGAATCTAGCTAAGAAAAAACTCGACATGAATAAGCTGGAAAAGGATGGCTATTACAATGAATACTACCAGTTTTTTTAGTTATTGGAAATTTCTATGGAATCAAGGGAAGTTTTTCTATGATCCGGAGTTTGTCTTGACTATCGCAAGGTTCTACTAGTGAAATACTGTAATAACAGTAAAACACAGACCACATCTCTGTGCCCAAAAAACCTGCCGCATATTATACGCTCTACCCTGTTTTCGCAAAAGAGCCAAATATGCCGCTTTTGACACGTTTTACAAGGTCTTTTTCCTCAAAATGGATCAACATTCAAGAATGATTTAATGCCATAAATGAAACATTACTAACTACCGAGTGAGAAGTTCTGAAGTGTGGATAGTGTAATAACGTAAGTAAAACCGTCGAGTGAATTTCCTGTCACATGTTTTTATATAAACATTACTGTATTAGAACAGTTAAAAATCTTAACACGAATTGTGAATTTACAAACAACAAACAAAAATTAGACGCGTTAGTGAATTATCCAAAGATTTATTTATAATCACTTTAGATAGCATGAGGCTTTTATTGGTACTATAAAGAAGCGCATACCCTTTGTTTATCTATCCATAAATATTGCAAAACAAGGGTTTTTTCTTGTAACAATGCCCAAACGAAAATTTAGGTACCCTAGAGAAACTTTACTCAGAATACACATCGTCAAGTAATAGAATTTTTATTTTGTTTTCAGCCGCAAAATTGTTTGTATCATTTACGACCCACTCATCGCAAAACAAGCAAACAACTAGTCAAATGTATATTTTATTTCTTCAAAAACACTTCAAGTATCTTAAAAATACCTCTTAATCTCGTTTCCTTTTCTCACCTCTGTTCACCTTTTCCAAATATTCCCCAAAACCTACAACCTTCCCACCAACAACTACTCTCAAATTACTAGCCACAACCTTTGGATTAATGAAAGGATTATGCAACTCTGCAATCTGGGTAGAAGAAGCCGCAGCCGAGTCTCCGCTGCTCCCCAACTTCTTATTCCAAAACTCATTCCCAGGCAGCGCATTGCCATCCCACGCATACGACACCACCAGAAGCTTATCCTTATCATGTCCCGTGAGTCTAGAATGGGGTCCCCTCTTATACATATGGAGCTTGATCCCACCCTGCGGGTGACCCTCGATTGGGACAACATCGCCGTGTTTGAATGTCAAGCACGCATCATGGTTGATGTACGCGAAACAAATGTCGCTAACACTATGAAGATGCTTCCCCAAAAGTTGTATTCTCCGTCCACAGGAATCCATGAAGAGTTTGTTTTGACACGGCGACTTTTTCCACACACCTAACCCGATACCTACGACGTGAACATAAGCAGTGGTGTTTCTCTCCACCGCTCTTTGATTAGCTTCAACAAAGAGAGTGTCCATGGAAAAAATCAGTCGTTTGTAGTAGACGTAGTTATCGAGAAGATCGCCGTTTTTCAAACTGGTATAACGTTGCGAATTTGCTGGTAGTTTCTGTTTTTCAAGCGCGTCTTTGTACTCCAAACAGTCTTCTTCGTAGAAGCTTGCAAAAAAACTGTGTATATTTGGCGAATTCCCTTTGCCGTAGCCGTTGCTTTTCGTGTTTTGCCTCTTCGTTATTACAAGTTCTTGGTACTCCATAACTTCGTCCTTCACCATTCTTGGCCCTATAATCCCCATGATGATCCCTTCATCCTGGATTCCCTCTCGCTCTTCGTTGAACACCGCAAAATTCTTCCGGTCTCCGACATTCACGAAGTACGTGTACGAACTGACTGACAAAAAAGCAGACAACTTAATTTCTTCATAGCTAAGACAATCTTTTAAAACTAGTGGAGGTTTCTGGTCGAGTGTCCCTATGCTTTCCCAGTTTTTACTCCCTTTTTTGTTGTTTAATAACGTCCAGGAGTCGCGTTTACCCATGAAAGTGGCCGCCCGTTTTGTTAACAGTCTGTCAACGAAAGTCAACACATCCAAGTTGTTGTAGAGTTCTTTTTCTATGGAGTTGCCATTTTTGCGTTTGTGGAGGATGAAACGGGCGAATAGGTGGAGGATGTTTTCGTGGAGGATTGGATAAGCGGAGTTTATGTTTCGTTCAAGGATGGTTTCGTCGACTGAGGTTTTCAGTTTTTTGCATCTACCACTGTCAATGGGGAAGGGTCGAGGAAAGGAGTCGCTTTGAGATAGGAGTGTGGGTAAAGTGATGTCTGGTGGCTGTGTGGTTTCTTGTGGAAGAAGAGATCGTTCTTCGGCGGACCATTTGGGGGGTTGTGGTGACCAGTTGGGGAGGGTGGAGGTGGTAGTAGCTGCAATGGAAATTAAATGATGACTAGGCAACCAACAATACATCTTTTATCTTGTTCATTTACTATTGTGTTGTTCGTGAATTAGGTTAGTAATTATTCTCTTCTGTGAAGCATGAAATCTAATAAATGATCGTTAATTTTTCACATTATTTAGATATTCAAAATTTAGATAATCGTGTATTGCGCAATATTATGTTGTTAATTTATTTCGTTTTATACAATTAACTCCGTATTCATTAATTATAAATTTTGAATTTAGGTACACTTACCACCTAGAATATGTTGAATAATGCAAATGTATACTATTTTTGGGTGATATTTTTATCTTCAGAAAGTTATTAGGCAAATATTACAAATAAAGCTAAGACTTACTTGTCATCGTTGTGATGAACTTGACTATAAATTAATATCCTAGCACCTATTCATAAATTCGACACATTGTTTACAAAGACTGCATCTTCGTAACAACCTGTCTGGAACACTCGAACAAAGTCGAATAGGCGATAAAAAAACCCATGTGGATTTTCCACCCATTTCAAACTACCAGTGGCATCTACACCAATGGCTAAGAACTATAAATTCCTTTATCAAAAACTACTAACTATAACTATAATGTATTCGTTTAAAAATTAATTTATTTGTCTCTTTTAGTTCTATCAACATAAAACAATTAAACAACTAATCAGACATAAGTTTTATTTCTTAAAAAACACCCGTAAACACCTATAATTACAAAGTTCAAAAATAATTTAATCTTTTCTTTCCTAACCTCTGTTCGACTTTTCCGCATACTCATCAAAACCCAGAACCTTCCCACCAGCAACTACTCTTAAGTTAACAGCCGCGACTTTCGGGTTGATGAAAGGATTATGCAACTCTGCGATCTGGGTAGACGAAGCAGCAGCGGAATCTCCGCTCCCTGCCAACTTTTTATCCCAAAATTCGTTCCCGGGCATGGAGTTTCCATCCCACGCGTAAGACACCACAAGAAGCTTGTCTTTATCGAGTCCCGTCAATCTAGAATGGGGTTCCCTGTTGTATATGTGAAGTTTGATGCCACCTTGCGGATGTCCTTCAATTGGGACAACATCACCATGCTTGAAATTCAAGCACGCATCATGGCTGATATACGCGAAACAAATATCGCTGATATTGTGAAGATGTGGTCCCAGAAGTTGTATTCTTTGACCACAAGTATCCATAAAGAGTTTGTTCTGACATGGTGACTTTTGCCAGACACCTAACCCTATACCGACGACGTGGACATACGCAGAGGTGTTTCTTTCTAACGCTCTTTGGTTAGCTTCTACGAAAAAAGTATCCATGGAAAAAATCAGTCTTTTGTAATAGACGTGGTTATCTAACAATTCCCCGTTTTTCAAACTGGTGTAACGCTGCAAATTCATCGGTAGCGTTCGCTGCTTTTCAATTACCTCTTCATATTCCAAACACTCTTCTTCATAGAAGCTCGCAAACAAACTATGTATATTAGGCGCATTCCCTTTCCCATATCCATTGTTTTTCGTGTTCTGCCTCTTCGTTATCACCACCTCCTGATACTCCATAACCTCGTCCTTCACCATCCGTGCCCCAATCAGCCCCACGATCACCCCCTCATCCTCAATTCCCTCCCTCTCTTCCTTGAACACCGCAAAATTCTTCCGGTCCCCAATATTCACAAAATACGTGTACGAACTAACTGACAGAAAAACCGACAACTTAATTTCTTCATAGCTAAGACAATCTTTCAACACTAGTGGGGGTTTTTGGTTAACCGTTCCTATGGTCTCCCAGTTTTGGCTCCCTCTTTTGTTGTTTAGTAGTATCCAGAGGTCGCGTCTACCCATAAACGTGACCGCCCGTTTCGTCAAGAGTCGGTCCACGAACTTCAACACGTCCATGTCGCTGTAGAGTTCTTTCTCGATGGGGCTGCCATGTTGTCGCTTGTGGAGGATGAAACGGGCGTATAGATGGAGGACGTTTTCGTGGAGGATTGGATAGGCGGAGTTGATGTTTCTTTCGAGGGTTTTGGGGTCCACGGAGGTTTTGAGTGTTTTGCATCTACCGCTGTCAATCGGGAAGGGGTAAGGGAAGGAATCGCTTTTGAGTAGGAGGGTGGGTAAGGTGATGTCGTGGGGCTGTGTGATGACGTCTTGGGGGAGAAGTGAGCGTTCTTCGGTGGACCACTCGGGGGGTTGTGGTGACCAGTTCGGGAGGGTGGAAGTGGCAGCAGCTGCAATGTTAATACTTGAGTAGGCAACCAACAAAACATGTAGTATAAATTTTCAGTCACTTTTTTCGAACTAGGTTAGTATTTTGTATTAAAATATATTTTGCACGTTACGCTGTTCATTGTAAAATTAAACCCGTATTCATTTACTATCAATCTTTTATTCAGGTAGGTACATTTGCATCTACAATGTGTTGAATAATAACTACAAGTAAATAATATTTTTTCTGTATTTGACTTTTAATCACGAAACTTTTACATAAATATTGGAATCTAGACTTACTTGCCATGGATATTGGGGTGCGGAACTTGTTTTAGAATATTCAGCTCTTAGTACTCTCTATTATTGATTACTGAATTTGATTGTAACTGACGCTTGTCAAGGCTTGACCCGAACGAAACCGGATGGGTGATGAAAACGGAAAATCCATGTGGATTTCCCAACGATTTCAACCTAGTGGCGGCATCTACACTACCAGCTGAGAATTATAAAGAAAAAACTGCTACAAGACAAGGAAATTTTGTGAAAAATCTAAGTGTATAGTTGGTTGCATTTAACTGTAAAAAATACAATGTGATCTTTCTGTATTTACATACATTTGTGAAACTACATTCTACAAATAATTATAACACATCTACTTAAATCAGTTGCTTTGAATCATAATGAATATTATCATGTCTAATAAATGTTATTAAGTTTCAGGCTAGCGTTAATTATTACTTTGAAAGTGTGTCTACACGAAATCTCTCTTAAAAATTCATATTTAAATTTCTAATTCAAAACTGGGCTAAAATAATCATACCACTAATAAATCGTTTTCGTTTTTAAACGAAGTGTCGATAATCTAGCTTAGTCATACATACTGAGTCATAGCACGTGATTTACAAAGTTTAAAAATCAATATTAACGAAAGCTTTTTATTACTACCTTCCTTCTTTTTGCTTAAGTGACACCACTTCTAAGAAAGATTAAATTCCATCTCTTACCAACACGGGAACAAAAAATAGTCCGTTTATTTAACATCAAGAAGTACCACATTATGCTCAAAAAATATTTATACTTTCACAGTGTTTCTATTTGTACAAACAAATACTGATTTACATAGAGAAAGAAGGTCCCAAACACAATAAATTTTTAAACAGATATTTAATCAAAAACTTTGCACCTCAAAGTTTGTTATGACTTAAAAGTAACTCCAGGTTGTGACAGTTTTGTGGTAATAGTAGTCTTATATAATTAAGTAAGTTTCCAAATTGTCTTTGTATAACCATAGAATATTACAAATATAGTGTCTATACTATTCACTACATTAATCACAGTATAGTTACTTCCGTCTTTACGGTCGTACTTCCGTTCCTTTGGACACGCTTCCGCTCGCCACAACCCATTTTGGCGCTTCCACCAAGTCAGGAATGTCACAGATTTTCAGCAAAAAAAAACGCCCGAAGGAAACTCATTAACACGAGTACTCATTCGTAAACACTTGTTATGCAAATAATTACTAAAATAATTTTTGAGAAGAATTACGTAACTCTGTAAAGCAGCTCATACAGTGTACTGGAACTAATTTAAGCACCTATTTGACTACACCCATCTGTCATGCAGGTCCTGCTCGTGCCCCCTCATTTAATTTCCTTCGTCATGACTGTTAAATCGCAGTAGACTTCGCAGCTCCAACAGGTGTAGCCCCTCTCCTCCATATCACCTTCTTCGAGTAACATTCTCGATACGGTTAGTACCGACTTAGAAAGTGTTTGAGTCGTACCTGCGCCGAGCGTGTTCTTCCGAGTGATTTCCAAGTGTGACTTTTCTATTTCAAACAGGTATGTGTTAGCTAATCGGCTTAATCTCTCCGAGAAACGCCATTACCTCGATGTCGTAACAGGGCCCATTATCGATATCGTTGATTTTTGGGCCAAGCGCCGTGTGTTCGTCTTTGGTAATCACCAACTCCGGGATGACGCACATGGCAAATAATGCAATAATGGCCGCACGATGGAATGTTGTAGAAAATTTCAGAGTTACCTACCACCGGTGACCGGTTGACCTTCGCTGGTTATTACTGGACCGAGTCACCTACCTTCAAAAGACCTCGCTTACGATGAAGATTTATTTGTTTATTACAATGTTACAATTATCGCCGCGCTAAACAGAGAAAGTGGTCGGATTTGATGAAGATGTTCTCAGATGTTGCAACTCAATTGTTCGTTTTCGGTGCAAGAAAGAGCCCCGAAGTCCTCAAAACCGATCTGTGTTCTACTTTTTTCGAAATAAAGAGAAATGCGTAATCGGCGGACCGTTGCCGCCGTAATACTTAAAATGTTATCGCAAAAATCCATTTCCTCGCGAACTGGGCTGGGATGGACCGTGGTCGAGAATATGGTGGGTTTGCGGACAATTTATGAGGTATGCTTCACACGCCCAAGAAATTCTTGCCATTAGTATTTTCTTACCAGGAAAATTTCCGCAGTCGTTCTGCTTCAGAACCCCGAATTAGTACCATGCCAATGCATCGGGAAAAAAATTACTTTGAGATAAATCGGAAGCTGGCCCCCATTGGCAAGGCTAAAATTGTACATCCGAAGAGTCGGAAGTGGCGTTGTTGCGGTTTTACGGTACCTCAAACCACACACACACATCTCATCACTATTTCATTCATGGGAACACCTTGTAAAACAGTATCTGATGAAACGTTATGGGAAAGTGTGCGATTTCAGTGTTTTCTAATTACTCTCATGTGGTGTCGGAAATCTAAATTATTCAGTTTTAATCGCATTATTAGCAGAATTTTTACACGCATGAGTCGTACAGAGAAATTTCAGCAAGGAATTCCGGTATGAAATATGACAGGATTTTGAGGTAACGGTATTCGGAACGACCTGTACATTATAATTAGTTTGTGTGCAGACTTCGTTAAACAGTGCCTCTCGAATTCATGTCGACCATGAGATTTTTAAATAATTGGAATGAAAATAATTGTCGTATAATTGGTGGTTCGCGCAACCATCCTTTGGAAAGTTCACCCAAAGTTGGACCTTGCCGAATAATTATTAATTAATAAACAAGATTTAGTTCCATTTTACAGAAATATCTCACGGTGGTTGAAGAGTAGATTCTTAGTGTCACTTGTCGGATTGGCACAGCATAATAAAACAAAAATTGTAATCAAAACCGTCCAACGTATGTTCTCAAATTTGGTCAAGCAGAAAGAGAAAAAAGAATAAACTGGCGCCTCCGCCATCTACGGCCATATACCGAGTGATGATTCATTTAAGTGTTTTTAAACCTTGTTTTGTTTTGCTCCAAAGGTAGTAGAATATAAAGTTGATCGTTAACAACAATTCTCTGTGGTATTTCTTCGTGTTAATTAATCTAATGGAATTTTATCTTGCGGGATACGTGATTATTGCAATGTAACACGTTAAAAATAAGGCTGAAATCATTGAAAGAACGTAAAATTGACCACAATGCGTCATGTTGTGTATGTGGTCACACTTCAAAGTAACTATCGTTTTTAAACGAAAGAAAAAATATTAAAACAACCAAATATATTTAAAATATTTACCTTTGGTGTCAAACTTCCTTGACCGAAATAAAACAAAATAGGTAATTCCGTAAACAATAACCTAGAAAAGCGAAGAACAGGCGAAGGTTGTGTTTATTTTATGTTATTGTCCTTAAGCGTGAAGATGTTAGTGCGTTCGATACACAGTTTAGCGACATCTTATATTTACAGATTTCGTCAAGCTATCTTAAATTCAAAAAAGACAATTTATTTTACGTAAAAAGTGTGGAATTTCACTAATTCATAAATTACGTACTTTTGATTTTATGACTGTTGTTTTGGTTTTGAATTTTGTATTGGATTTGTCATTAGAAAGATTATTTCAATTTTTTTTTAAATTAAGACACTTCAGATATCCTGATATGTTGACAATTTTCAAACGATATAAAACACTTGGGATCTCAAAATTCTTCCAAACTCCTTCAGTAACAAAATATCAGCAGCTGGAAGTTTGTTTCGATATTTTCAAAAAATAGAATACAGGGGTCCTAAAAGACTTTAAACTTCTTCAAAAAATAAAACATCAGGGAAGGTCAGATTTTTTCAAAATTCTTCAAAAAATAAAACACCTAGACCCTAAAATTTTATCAACTTCTTTAAAATATCAATTTCTTCAAAAAATAAACACCAGGAGCCTCAAAATTCTTTCAACTTCTTCAAAAAATAAAGCACTAGGGGCTTTCACATTTTTTAAACTTTTTCAAAAAATGGAATACGAGCATCAAATTTTTTCAATTTCTCCAAAAAAAAACAAATAAATAAAACACCAGGAGCCTCAAGATTCTTTCAAGTTTTTCAAAAAAGTAGAACAGCAGGGAATACCAAATTTTTTCAAATTCTCATTGGGACCCCAAGATTGTGTCAAATTCTTCAAAACATGACTAAGGACTCCAATATTCTTTTAATTTCTTTAAAAAATACAACAGCAGGGGCCTCAAGATTTTTTAACCATTTTCAAAAAATAAAACACCAGGGAACACTAGATTCTTTTAAAATTCTTTTAAAAATGACATACCGGGAACCTCAACATCCTTTCAACTGCCTCAAAAAGTCAAAAAGTAAAACACTGGTGGCCCTAAGATTGTTTAAACTTCATCTAAAATAAAATATTAGGAGCCCCGACATTTTTAAACTTCTTCAAAAAATAGAACACTAGAGATCTCAAGATTCTTTCAACTCCTTCAAAAAATGGAAAACCAAAGACACCAAGTTTCTTTCAATGTCCTTAAAAAAAGCACCTGGGATCCCAAGATCCTTTCAACTTGTTCAAAAAATAGAACACAAGGTCTACGATTCTTTATCTTCTTAAAAAATAAAAACACCAGGGTTCCATAATCTTTCCAAACTATTTATATTGCTTTCAACTTCTTCAAAAAAATAAAACACAGGAGCCTCAAGATTTTTTCAAAATCTTTAAAAAAATAAAACACCAGGAAACACCAGATTTTTTCAAATTCTTCAAAAAATAAAACATCGGGATCCCAATATTCTGTCAACTTTTTTAAAACATGACTAAGGGCTCCAATATTCTTTCAATATTTTTTTAATTACTTTAAAAAATCTATAACATCAGGGGCCTCAAGATTCTTTAAACTTCTTCAAAAAATAGAACACCAGGGAGCACCAGTTTTTTTTCAAATTCTTTTAAAAATAAATTACCGGGAACCTCAAGATTCTTTCAACTTCTTCAAAAAATAAAACACTAGGGGCTCCCAGATTCTTCAAATTTCAAAAAAAAAGAACACCAGGGATTCCGGGGAAGACCAGATTTTTTCAAAATTCTTCAAAAAATAAAACACCTGGACCCTAAAATTTTATCAACTTCTTTAAAATATCAATTTCTTCAAAAAATAAAATATCAGGAGCCTCAAGATTCTTTAAACGTCTTCGAAATATAAAACATCAGGGAACACCAGATTCTTTTCAAATTCTTCTAAAAATAAAACACCGGTCACCTCAACATTCTTTAAAACTCTTCAAAAAATAAAACGCCAGGGGCTCCCAGATTCTTAAAATTTCAAAAAATAGAACAGCAGGGATTCCGGGGAAGACTAGATTTTTTCAAAATTCTTCAAAAATAAAACACCTGGACCCTAAAATTTTATCAACTTCTTTAAAACATCAATTTCTTCAAAAAATAAAACACCAGCACTTAGCTCGCACCTAAAGTACAGTGAAACATATCCAGTATTTTTTAGTTGAGTTTTTACTTTACAGAATTTTGTGACGACGTCATCAACATTTTTGCAAGGACACCTTGGATTGGTGCACTGTAATACTAAAAATGACAGTATTGTATTCCCAAAATTTTCTGGGAAAATAGAGTGAACCGTTCCTGGTTTAATCAATAACATAAATTGACACATTCATTATTTTTTTTGAGCCACCTGTATAAGCAAATCTAAAAATATGAATGCAATGATAAATCACAAGTAAAAACACTCATGTTTTGCACATTTCGGGTAGATTTAGGAATTTAATTCGTTACTATGGAAATTTGCAATTTAACACCTTTAAATTTCACAAGTTTTTACAAAAATAATAGGGGCAAAATCAAAAATCTTAACAAGTACTAGGACCGCCCACCCGCCCTCTATTTTCTCAGAGATCTGCCAAAATCAGTCTTATCTTATCAAGTACTAGCCCCACCCACCCACCCTTTCTTTTCTTAGAGGATATGTGATTTGCCAAAATCAGTCTTATTTTACCAAGTATTAGCCCCACCCACCCGCCCCCTATTTTCTCAGACGATATGTCAAAACAAGACTTATGTTAGCAAGTACTAGCCCCCCCTCCCACCCGCCCTTTTTCCTCAGAGGGTAGTATTTGCTAAAATAAGTCTTATTTTGGCAAATGACATATCCTCTGAGAATGTAGGGGCGGGTGGGTGGTGGTAGTACTTGTTCAGATAAGACTGATTTTGGCCAATGCCATACCCTCTGAGAAAATAGAGGGCGGGTGGGCGGGGCTAGTACTTGATAAGATAAGACTGATTTTGGCAAATCACATATCCTCTAAGAAAAGAAAGGGTGGGTGGGTGGGGCTAGTACTTGGTAAGATAAGACTGATTTTGGCAAATGACATCCTCTAAGAAAAGAAAGGGTGGGTGGATGGGGCCAGTACTTCCTCAGATTTTGACCAATGCCATACCCTCTGAGAAAATAGAGGGCGGGTGGGCAGGGCTAGTACTTGCTAAGGTAAGCCTGATTTTGGCAAATGACATATCTTCTACTAAAGTAAAGGGTGGGTGGGCGGGGCTAAAACTTACTAAGATAGGACTGAACAATATTAAAGAGTACTCACGGGAACGAAGAAGGGGTGGGTGGGCGTGTCTACTGCTTGTTCATGAAATTAGGAAAAGAGATATTTATTTTATTAGGAGTCAAAATAAGACCCTCTGAGGAAAAAGGGCGGGT